TCCAGGTGACAAGACATGGAGGTTTCTGTAAAATGGAAGGTTGGTTCTTTTTTCTTGTTTCAGAGCAGCAACTGTGCCACACAATTAACTACCCTACATGGGCAAATGGACTAGGAACTTGTCTAGATTTATTTACAAAACTGCCAGCTATCAGAGCAGGAATGGTTATGGAGTATTCATCCTTTGGAAAGGAAGGCAGCACAGTTATCAGCCAGTCTCCAAAATTAAGCCAGTCTCCAAAATTGGCTCAATTTTCCTTACATAAGCCAATCTCCAAAAGTAAGCAGGGTCAGTACTTGGATGGGAGACCACCAAGGAAGACTGTGTAGTGGAAGGCAGTGGCAAAACACCTCTGCTTCTCACTTGCCTTGAAAGCACTTTGCTGGGCATGCTGTCAGTCAGTTGCAACTTGATGCCAATTTGGGAAGGGCTGAGATCGAAAGAAACTTAAAATAACAGTACTTCACCCCTGTAAATCAGACTGTGATCTATCTCACTCCTTACTGTCTACACTGGCAGTGGTTCTCAATGGTCTCCTGCAGAGAAAGGTCTTTCTCAGTACCTGCTTCTTGTGGTCCTTCAGCTGAAGATTTCACAGACTGAATCAGGAACATTCTGCATGCTGTGCACACACACATACACACACCGCGTTCTAATACGGTATCTGCCTTAAAGCATTATCTACTCTGACTGATAGTGAATAGAAGACTATTTTCCAACACACGCCAAAGATTGAGCATGGAACCATTTCTGTGCTCCAAGCTATGATTTCCAAGCTTCCACCTTATCCTGACTGTGGAAGAAGAAGAATGTGCCGACAAGTCACAACTGACTCATGGCGACCCCCAACCATGGGGGTGTTTGAGAACTCAGGAGATGAGCCAAGGTGGTTCTGCCATTGGCTTCCTCCACGTAGCAACCCCAGTTTTCCTTGATGGTATCTCCTTAAGGGCATGGATAAGATCTGCTAGTAATGCCAGATAGCACCCTTGCTTTCCGCCAGAGGCCAAGGCCTTACATAAGCCAATGCTGCTCAATTAGGGTGCACCCATCGCTGGCAGAGTGTAGCTGGCAGCTAAAACAAGCAAGGCCATCAGAAAGGCTTACTTTAAACACTGGCGCCTACAGTAAACCTTTCTGATGTGCGACTAAGCCTCAAGGACACCCACTTTTAAATCATTTGCCAGGGAAGCTGAAGCCTAGAAGGGAAAAAGCAGGACTTCGACAAACTCCGAAGTAGGCCCCCACCCCCTTAATGTCATAAGGAAGCCCCTTAATTATGCCTACTGGGCTGAGGGGGCCCACCAAGGGCTGCCCGAAAGGTGGTTGATGGCCCTTCCGTGAACCTCATCAGCCTGTGACAGGGTTTTGCCTGTGGCCAGTCGAGCCGTGATCAAGATGAGGGACGTCTTTTGTGCTCGTTCAATTATGCCGCCCTCACTTCCCGCTGACACACTTTACATTGGAAACACGATTTCTACAGAATTATAGTATTAAGCTAGGCATGCGTACGGAGGCCAATAGATCCATGGGTTGTCTTGCTGCATTTCTCCGGCACACACAGGGACTCTTCCGAGGCCCGTGGTTTCCCCCTTCGGCTTTGGGTTTTATTTATTCATTGGCATGGAGAGCTTTGCAGTGGGGGGGGGGGTGGATAAGGAAAAAAGAGAAAGCATCAACCTTTGCATCACAGAAGGAAACAGAGCCTGCCCTCCTTTCTAACACTGACGGGAGAGAGGGTGCAAGCAGTTCCCTGTGTGATAAAAGATTGTCGTGATGAATGTGCGTGTGCCTTTTGGACATTGAAGAAGATGAATTGTGCTTATTTGGTGTTTGGGGTGTTGGTTTCTTTTGGCCTTTAAGGGAGAAAAAAGTCACTTTACAAAATAACTTAGCACAAGGATCGTTGATAAGGAAAACTGACCCACAAGCTAATTGAATCATGCAAATAATCAGTTACCTAAAACACCTCTGAGCCTATGCAGCCAACCACAACATGAATACAATTGTCTCGCTGCTCCCCTAACAAGGCCTCGGGTGAATGGGGCCGTGCTGTTTCTCCTTCTTTTTTCTTTTTTTAGAGCCTATGTTGTTTTCTCATGGAAAAATAGTATAGGATTTATATGTTTATCAAAAGGCTGTTGGCTGCATGTGATGCAGGGTAACTCGATTTCCTGGAAGACTGTTTCCTGAAGATACACCAAATAGGCTATTACCTGGCCCTGACCTTTGGGTTTTATAATAAGCATTTAAAAATTAGCGGTGTATGAAGATAGAAAGAAGAGGTCCTTTTAAGCAATAGCTTCTGTAAGAAGAACTTTAATGCTGTTTGGCCAGGCAGCATATTTCAAAACTTATCAAGCGACAGCAAGAACGCAGCAAGGAAGAATGGATAGTGGGGGTTGTTTTTTTTTAAGTGGGCTATTTTAAAAAACAACAACAGTGTTCCAGGTGTAAAGCATTTTATTTGGCGTGATGGGATGGCCCAGGCTACACTGGGTCTATATTGACCCCTTTCTCAGGCCCAAGCAACAGAAGGGGGGCAGAGTCCCAACAAGCAAATTACTCAGCAAAGTACTTTGCAACTAGCTATGTCCAGCATTCGGCACCCTGTGTACACACCCCAAATGCTATCTTTCTGCTTTTCCAGTAGTGTTGCAAAAGCTGGCATAAGCATATGGACCAAGGGAATGAGCCATGATCTGGGAAATAACAGGTCTTAGGCAGGCCTCTCTCTCTCTCTCTCTCCCAGTCTTCCATCAGTAATGTGAGAATACCGGCCTACCCTACAAGGCTCTTGTATGGGTTGCAGCAAAAGGATACATGTGAACAAATCCTTTGAACACTAGACAGTGCTACACCAAAGCTCAGGGAGCTGCCAGCTTGAAGGTGCTTTGTGGTCTGATACACTACAGGAAAGGGGTATTAGCTACACCTTTCTCCATTGCAATGGTACCACTGGGGTGGGGGAAAGGGTTGAAAAGCTGGTTATCATGACATTGACATACACCTGCAGGAGTTCGTAATCATGTCAGCACAAGGAGCAACCTCACCATCTCAGCTCCCCCCCACGGCAAATCTAGTAGAAGAGGATGTGAGGCTGCCACTGTGCCCCAGTAACAATAAAAACTTACCCGACTGAGCAATTCTTTGCTTAATGCTCAGGATGCGATATATCAGTATGGCAGTGGAATCAACACGAGTTCCTTTTCCTTCAAAAAACGTTAACGAAGCAAGAGTGCACAACGAACGATTTTAAATTCCAAGGGGAGGAACTATAGATTGGTGTGTTGTTCTGCGGTTTTGAAACCAAATTCAGGGGCAGAGTACAGGGCTGCAATTCAATGGGACAGACCAGAGAAGACTATTTTAACTTCCCCCTTGCAGCAGAAACTTCTGCCACCACCCTCGGCTGTGTTACCTGCAATGGGGGAAAAGTACCAGTAAATTTTCACCAACAAAGGGGTAAAAAAAAGGCAGCCTGTGGGTGGTGACTTTCAGTAGGAAAATGGCCGGAGGGAAAAAGAAATAAATCGCCCCATTCCCAGCCCTGCTTTGTCTCTTTCAACAGTAGCCCTTGTTGCCACATTCTTTTGAACAGAACTAAAACACTGTGGTTTGGAGAACATCATTATGCAACAGAACACAATGCCGAGCAAGGCCATCAGCTCTAGCCTCTTGGACTACTGCCGGCCTCTCTCCTTCTTTCTCTCTCAGCACAGGAAGAAATTACGTCAACATTTTGGGTCATGAAAGCAAAAAGTTTATTCATGGTTCAAAACTACATAGAACTACCACGAGGAAGACTCTTCAAATTCAGGGTGTAATCCAGTTAGAAAGTAACACGAAACGGTTTAATACATTAGAATCACTGCCACAAATTATTATTATTTTTTCTCATTGAGTCAATCAGTTTCAGAATCGCATACAATACAAAAGAGGAGAAAAATAAAAACAGAAAGGAAAAAAAAAAGGGCGCCCCGGCCCCCCCAACCCCCGCCCCCAATTATACAGGGTGAAAGATACAGTGCTGAATACCAAGACCTGTATGCTTTACAATTCATTGTTGGTTGTATTTTTTTTCTCTTTTTTGTGTGAATTAGTATAATAACAAGAATGAACAACATTCAAAATGTTTTTCTGTATTTACAACAGTTTCACTGTTTTCGAGTTGAACCTAAAGACCCAAATGTTTCCACTTCAAAGCGTCTTTTTTTTTTAAATTATTTTTGAAAGTTGCCAGTGCAACCCAGATTTTTAAAAACTTTTATTTAAAAGATTACAATGTACATTACATTTCATGAAGGGAACCAAAGAGTTAATTACAAGATGCCCAAAAAAGGAAAAAATAAATTGATATAGGGAAGGGGGAAGAAAGAAAAAAAAAGAGACAAAGAACAGAGTGGATATTGTTTAGAGGTAGTAAGTGAGCACTCTAAGCTACAGAACATGTTTCTATTGGTTCATATGAGTTCGCATGAGGTAATAAAGCTGTGTTTTGATTGGTGAGATGTATAAATACTCTTTTGCTACACTATATACAACACTTCAGAGAATGGTGCCTTTTTGCTTCTTGTTGGCACCGAGGAGCAGTGGCAAACCCTGGTGAAAGCTCTCAGCACCTGGCTCATACTGCAAAACCCAGCAGCTTGGCTTTCGCAAAATGAGCAGCAAGTATCTCCATCTCATATGAATCATCTGTGTGCGCCGATGGCTTGCAGAGGGGGAGGCTCTGTGCCGTGGTACGTTAAATGAAGTTTGAAGTAAGAGCTATGGGCCCCCAACCCCACCCTGGTTGTAAGCTACTTTGATAACCCAAAGAATCCCAACAAAATCTGAGACCTGGAAGGATGCTTTAGAAAACAAAACATGCAACTGCTAGCCAAAATAACCCTCACCGAACAAAAAATTTATTTCCACTCTAAAAAAGGGAGGAAAAAAGCCCTAAATAAAAGACAATCAGCGTCTGAAATTCACTTCGGCTCTTGATGGAAGTCCGGTTTGGGTGAACCACCCGACAAGCCTGGTTCTGTTACTTGAGGTTACTTTTAAGAATTATTTTAAATTTCCCCTCTGAGGCCACACAGCAGCTAGTAGACCATCCTTGCAAAACCTGCTGGTAATAAATTATTTTTCTAAAATAGACACAGGGTTACAAACAATGCTAAATCTCAGCCTAGTCGGATAAAGTGCTTGTTTTTCTTTTTCCTCCTTAACATTGCGTGAGTGTGTGCATATCTGTGATATTTAAGAACCTATACAAATGATTAGGATACCTTAACAAAAACAAAAAAAAGATTTTATCGAGTTCTCCGGTAAGACAGGGTTTTGCAGTTAAGCCAGCGGTGGTTGGCTAACAGAAGAACCATACACACGCGCACACACACACACACACACAATCTTTCTGGAATCTGTTTTTTTCTCCTTCCTCCTGGGATTCTGAATGCACTGAAGGAAGGCATCTCAGCTTGAGTGGGGTGGGGTGAATGGATGATAAGTGTTGTGAGGACATTAGTTAGAGGTATCGGAGTGCACACTTCCCGGGCCTTCTGTTGGCGAGGTCACAGAAGATGGAGTAGTCGCATCCTGCCAGCCTCCATTAGCCTGGAGAAAGGAAGAAAACAAACCAATGAAAACACACTGCTATGTATACTATGTAAACATATCACATGCATGTAACTCATGGCAGTCACTTTACCAAGGCTTACCCAATGGAGGACCAAATGATACCAGATGCTGGAAATTCTACAGTCAATGCCCCCCCCCATCTTTTCTATCTAAATAGCAGCTGCAAAGGGCCATGATTCAGACTGGGATTGTGGCTTTGGGGGGGGGGGGACAGAGGAAAAGGCTGACCCACCTCTAGGCTCTTTGTGTTGGCTATTTGGAAACAGAAAATGCTTGAGAACTCCAGGCACAGACCTCTCAGTGCCAAATGAATAGCTTGCCCCTTAATTGCAGGGCTACCACCAGACTAGAGATGTGAAGGCCCGGGGAAAAACCGGAAAAATTCGGGGGGGGGATATCAGATTGATCTAATTTCTGTGCACTGAGGACAAGCAAGTCCTAGGTTACAAACTGAACCCTCCAATGCAAGAACAAGATGCATTTCTTCCTTTAGGAGGTGCGATTGTCAGAAGAAAATAAAATTCAGTTTTGTTTTTGCATGTGGGTGCATATTCTGTTTGAAATAATTGTTTGGATACACTATATTTTTAATATGCTAGTTGTGATAATTTCATGCCAAGTAAAAATGTCCATAGTCATATTTTATGTTCCTAAAGTAACAGAATGACTTTCAATCTAAAAAAGAAAAAAGAAGTGCTAATGTAGCATTTTTTTCAATTTTCCCGAAAATTTCAGTTTCCCCCCCCAAAAAAACCCTGGGGTTTTTTCCGAGCTTCAAAATTTCTGGAAATTTTACATCTCTACACCAGACTGTGATCCACAGCCCTCACCTGCGACTCCTACCGACTACTGCTGCTCCAGCTCTGAGCACCAAAGCTGGGAGCCACAGACTCCACGCATGAGCACAAGCATCCCCACACAAGCGCCAGGCCTCCTTGTGCTGCATCAGGCCTTCTCTCCCGGGCTGTGTGCAGCAGTGTTTCTGGTGGCATGGAGGGCTATCGTTGGGCGGGAGGGGAGTTCTGAGGTCCTGGGGGAGAAACTGAAGCTCTGATGGCTCACGGGGTCCCAAGGCCATCCTTCCATATTGTACGGTGCAAGCACTGGATGGTGAGTGTCATGTGGAAACAGAGACAGCTAAGCCTGGGTCTCCAGCAGTCAGCTTAGAAACAGCAGGAAAGATAGGCCCTGGTGACAGGAAAGGTTACGAGAAGTGGCCAAGGGTTCGCTGGCGGATCGCAGCTGGCCTGAAGTGGCAGAGGCACCGTCTACTGAGAGAACTGGCCTACGATTCTCACGGACGGCCGCCATGGCTCTAATCTCGGCCCAAGGTAACAGAATGAGAGAGATGTGCCATAAGCATCAGAGAATGAGACCCTGCGAAGAAATGCTGTGATGTTTACAAACAGCTCAGCCCATTGAGTCAAGGATCCGACTGGCAGCTATGAGATGGATGCTCTCCCGTGCTGGCTTTGGGTTAAGTCAGAGGCCATTCAGCTTCAGCTAGCCATTCCCAAAGAGAAGCCGGTGGACTGCTCTGTAAGTATCACTTAGCTTGTTACGAGTGAGATGCTTTTACAGAGACACTCAGCACTGGATACAACAGCAATTCTGCTTCCCAAAAGAATTCTCTTCCTATCCCCCCCACCCCCGGCAACCTCTACCTACCACTTTAAGCAAAGTACCACTTGAACTCTGGCCTGAAATGCTCAGAAGGTATTCCCCTAAGGAAGCCTGGTTCTGTTCTCCACTCCAAGCTTTTTTCCTCCAAGTTCTGGCTCCTCACCTTTCCACAGCTGAGCAACATGCATCTGTGCACTGCCCCATTTGACAGGAACCTGAGCTCTGCGGGGACCCTAGGCTTTTCCAGCCATGTAACTATCTTGGAGGGGAGGGGAGAGGAAGAGAGCTGCAACACAGCTGAATCTTAATTTCATTTTCAAAAGTCTCCCTTCTGGGCACATGTCAGAGCCATTTACAAGGCCAGCTGAGATGAGGCCCAAGTTCCCCTCCAACTACAATAATCTTCGAGCAAGGCCATGCAAACGGGAGAAGCAAGCACCCTATTCCGATCTATTTTCCAATTAGCCACAAACAGAATCCATCCCCCCCCCGTTCCCCACCCCTTTCGGATGTTGCTCCATGTCTTGGGCTGCTGCCGGCCCAACGCATTAGACCTGCATCAGCAATAACAGCGCTCAGAAACAAATTTGCCTTATGTCTCGGCCCATCGAGGCAATTGCTGAAATCAATGTCTGATCAGATTTCTGCTGTGGCAGACAGCTTGTCGCTACATATTTTTATGTCAGTCAAGAAGAGGGAGGCACGGGCCTCGTGAGTTGGGGGGACGCTGAGTGGAAGTGACGGGCGCAAGCCTTTGCCGGCGCTTGCTGGAGCAAGCCAAGGCCGACTCCGAGTGCTCCCGGCACAAGATAGCCTTTGCGAGCCTCTCTTCCCCATCCCAAAGTGCCTTCCCACCAAAAGGAAAGTTTAGGGCATGCTAAGTTATTGGGGATGAGGATGGGGGGGGGGGGCATTACCAAAACAATTGGCGGCAGGATCCTTTTTCACCCTTGTCAATAAAAAAAAACCCCCCCCGCTGCTCAACCCTGAGCACAAAAAGAGCAGTGAGTGATGGATGGCAGGACTCAGAATGGATCTCACTCGACCCTCCTGAGCCCTGGCAGGCCTTGCTGAGCCTTTAGCTCTTTCTAGTCAACCCCTTAGGAATTGTTTGGCTTTTATATACACGGCTCTTTCATCCTCCAAAGTGAGAAAAGGGTTTCCTGATTAAAGGGGGCAGCTTAAATCATTATCTCCCAGAGTAAGAGAAAAGCAACAAAACAGGGGGTGAGGAATCTCTTGTCATAAATTCCAGAAGGTTATATATATATATATTCCAGAAGGAGTCTATATATATATCTCCAAATAAAATAATTAAAAATTGGTGGCACCAAGAAATACTAACAACGCACAGTATGGAATACCTTTTGTGAGTATGCAAAACCAACAAAGGCTAAAGCACCTTCAGCTTTATTTTATTTTCATATGTTTAAATTCTCATTCTCATTCCTTTCCCCCCACCATGAAAACCTACTTAAGAGAAGGAAGAAAACCCTCATGCAGATAAGGGTCTAAAGATATTCCACCCGAAGTGAACATTATCCCCCCCCCCCTTTATCCAAATTCATAAACAAGAAACGTACAATATTTTTACTCGGCTTGGCAGCTGGGGGAGAGCTTGTCAGCAGGCATTTTTCCTCCTTTCTCCCTCCCCCCCCACAAAAAAATAAATTAATCCTTACTCTGGTGGTTTGAGATTATGCACTGTATTATACAACAGCGCCTTATCAGGCCTCATCAGGGAAGATGGAATTCATGTCTGTAAAATGCTGCAGGCAATCAGGGTTTCATATTTTATCATGTTGATAAGGATATCGCAAATTCTCTGAAGCATTTCAAAACACTTAAATGAAAAAGGAGTGAATGCGACTAAAAGGCTTTTTATATGGTTTGTTGTGGGTTATTATGAGTTATTTATAAACCCCCCAAAAGAAAGATTTGACATTTCAAATGGAAAAAGATTTGAGTATTTAATGGGACTTCCCCACCCCCACCCCCGCCCTCCCTCTCAATTGAACGCCTTCAATCACATTTTAAATCATTAATATTTACTCTTGTGGCAAGTGAAAGGCTGGAAAAAAGGGGGGGGGGTCTTCAAATCTCTTTCAGGCTACAGTATTTTAGTGCAGTTTCTGTCTCTTCCACAGCTGCTCTTCTTATTGCCAGCAGATTCCATTCCTTTTAGGGCCTCATCCACAGCCCTTCCCCAGCGCCAAGCTGTGCACTGGCAACTGTGCACCAAGGACAGTGAATCAGGAGCCAGTCGGCTTCCTTTCTGGTTGCCACATCATGTCCTTTAGTCCCAGGTAGCGTTTGTTCTGATTTTAAAGTCCCAGCCATACAACCTTCAATAAAAGCACCCTAAGTGAGAGGCGACAAATTTCCTTGATAAAACTAAAAAGGTATTCCTTGTTACACCCTTCCCTCTCGTCACTGTGGGGGTATGCCCAAGATCCCCTTGATATTCTGCTTTACTGGCATGGGTCAGCTTGTTATGCATCAAGTCTACAAACCTCAGGGCCAGGCCTTGAAGCCAATCTTGCATACCGTGCAAAGAGACCACCTAGTGGGATGGCCATTGCTTGCATGGTGAACAAACACAGTATTGGGATGGAACAGTGGGGGGTGGGGAGAAGTCTTTGTGTACAGCAAGTGGAAAGGCAGCACCATCTTCCTGACTCAGTGAGGAATTTTACCTCTGTCCTTGGCTGAGAACTGGCACAGGCCAGTGGAAAGAGTATTAGACCTGGATCTTTAAATCCCTACTCAGGATGGGTAAAAAATGAGCCACCCTCTCTCAACTTCGTGTCACATAAAGAAGATCAGCGTCTTTCATTCTACATGAAACATTATGTCAGCCAGCTCTCTGGGTTGGTAAAGTAAAGGTAAAGTCTTATGTGACTGAATGGCTTTAACATACAAATAAATTCCTTGCATCCAAAAACTGGCATGCCTGGCAGGTTAAGGCAAACCACTTCTTCCTGACTTGTGAGGGCTTCTGAATGAAGGGGTTTTAACTTTGTCACACACACACACACACACACACACACCCCAGTATATATTTGGAAGAACATCAGGCCATGTATTAGTAGTAGTAGTTGCAGCATATGAATCATAAATAGCATCGTTAAACAACCAAATCTAAAAGTCCTTATCAAGTTAAAAAATGTCACTCTCCAGATACAAATTTCTTGGCTGCTAAGTCAAATGACAACACACTATATAAGACAAACAGTTTGGAATCTGAGAGAAAATAAATCATCTTCTCTGTTTCTGAAGAAAAGTTTAAGCCCTTCAGAAACGCTGCAAGAAATCTGGTTCTAGGCTCTATGTAAAGCAGGCAAGACAGAATGTAATGAGACAGATACTTTGGAGCCAGAGCTCCACAGATACATAAGGTAGAAATGGGGTTGCCAGACCCCAGGTCCCAGCAGGGGTTCCCCTGCTTTGGGGGGCTGTGATCCACTGCCAGCCAAGTGGCTGGTGGGGGAAACCCCACCCCCAAATAGGGATGTTGTCGGGCAACGTCCCGGATGTGATGACATCACCCGGAAGTGACGTCACTGTGACACTCTGGTTTTTGCACAAACTCTATGGTTTTGACGCAAAACCCCCAGCATATCACATGTGATGCTGCCAATGCAATGATAACACTTCTGGGTGACATCATCACATCAGGACGTCGCCCCGCCCATCCCCGGAACACCCCCCCCCAACCCCCGTGCCACAACGTTGAGGGGACCTGGTGTTGCAGAATTAGGGCCTGAATTGAGCCTCAGTCTTCCGTGAAACCTATGCTACTTTAATTTCTATAGTAAAGTATAGTTGAATCTTTGGTTCTGTTTCCCAGGAGGCTTCAGGACTCTGCTAAGTGCTGTGGCCCTCTGGTACAGATAACCCTGTACACAGGAGCGGAGCTCCGGCAGTAAAGAGCCCAAGGGGCGGGCATGTACATGACCTTTGCCTTTGTTTATACACTATCAAATTCTAAATAGATAGGGTATCTGTAACTAGCTTCCTTGACTATCTGAGATACCCCAGCTCTCCCTGACGTCCCTTGACCTTCCTGACCCCAGAGATAGAAAGAAAGGGCTGAGCTTTGTCGTATATGTCAGGTATACATCAGATGCTTAGCAATGGACTTGACTGACATTAGCTGCTATGGGTAGAAAAAGGTACTTAATTTCTGAATTTAGGCTTCTTCGTTGTCATTCTGACCAACCACCCTCTGTTATGGGTCTTGACAGAGCAACCAAGGATATCCTTTATAGAACTACAAATGCACTATTTAGGTACTGGGGTTGTGTTGAAATATTCTGTGTTGAATATTGAAATGCTATAAAAGTGTTTTCTGACTTAAGAGTGTGTAATGGAATAAACTGAGTTTTGGTTTAGAACAACTGTCTCTCTCTCGTGATGCAATTGGGATCCCTGCCAGCTTCTTTCCCTCCCCAATGGACACAGTGGGGATTGGGAGTCCATGAAAAGGTTCCTGCATGGCTCATCTCCCCAACACCTGGCAACCCTGGGTAGAGAAGCAGAGGTCTGTCTGCAATAGCATCACATTTGAACACCCAGACCTGAATATTGGTACCAACCATGGAGACACCATGGGAGTCACCCAGTATGTAGTAGCGGCGGAAGATGTTGTAACCAGCTGCCCAGGCAGATTCTTTCTCCATCACTGCCTGCCTGCATTTTCTCCAAAATCTAAACATGGCAACACGTACATGGGCTCTGACTGAAGGTAAACTGAGTTCAGTCAGCATCATAGCTGCTCCGAATCCTCTAGGCAGCACTAGAATTCTCTTTAAAATGAGATTTTGGATAGGTCCCTTAGTATTTGCAGCATGAGATGCCCTGGCTGAATGATTCCCTGTCAGCTGCCAAAATCCCCAAATAAATGCCTGTGGCCCGGATGAGTGACCACAATGGTGAGCTGCCAGTCTTCAGAGGAAGAATCTTGCAAAAGCAAACTGAACAGCAGCCATGACTGTCAAAAGACAGGTATTGTACCCTACCACGGCAGCCATACTTTCAAAATGGAGCTCACTTCTCATTCAGTGTGTGAGGAAGAGAAAGGCAGGAAGAGAAGCCTTGAAGAAGTAGTAAAGAAAGGCTATGCCCACGTCCTCTTTTTAAAAAGAAAAATCAACAAGGCAAGAAGAAATTGCATCAGGATTCACTGAGGAGATAAATCCCACTGAGAAGGTTCTCAGGGTTGCTTCAAAAAGAATTGAGTGAAAGTGCTTGCTGAGGAGCATGCAGAGAATGTCAAAGTCTCCTCTTGAAGAGAGGGAGGAAAGTGCTTTGAAGCTCACCAGGGAGTTCCTGGGATACTGAGAGCGGCTTGTTTTCCCAGGGAAGGGAACCATAAAATGCACCAAGAAGATAGGAAGAGCTAGGGCTGCCAGCCTCCAGGTGGGACCTGGAGTTCCCCCGGAATCACAGCTAATCTCTGAACTACAGAGATCAATTCTGCTGGAGAAAATAGATGCTTTGAAGGGTAGACTCCATGACATTGTACCCCACTGAAGACCCTGTCCTCCCTAGACTCCAACCCCAAATCTCTAAGAGTTTCCCAACCTGAATCTGGCAAACCTACCCCCCCCCCATCCCCTGCTGGGGGCTAAGGAGGACCTGGCAACCCTAGGAAGAGCAGATATGAATTTCTGTATAGAGATGACCATTTGCTCTAGCTGCCAGCAAGGGCAACATGATCTGGGTACTGAGATGAATGGGATGTGCACCCTAGGTTGATTGAGAGCCTGGGATTCACCTTCCTACTTGGGAGTGAGTTCCCTAAAGCTGGATTGGGTAGAGGCTTCCCACCAGCAAAGGCAGAAAGAGTTAAAAGGCTGGTAACATCCATTAGTCTTTGTTCATATGCTGGAGGTCAGATTCCCCTGCATGGAGCAGGCGGGGGTCAGGATGTGGATTTGTTCCACAGACATCTGGGAGGGGGATGTCAGAGGTAAATCTTCTGGATTGTTCAGTTTAGCTTACTGTTATGTTTTCCTGTTCTTTTCATTAGATCTGTAACCCACTAGGCATGATAGTATTTTCCCTGTCTTGTGCTCTAAACTTAATCTGCAGCAATAAAGTCTTTTCCTGTTTAAGAGAGCAAACTGTGACTCAAAGTCCTCCTCACTCACTCATGGTCAAATACACATGCGGAGCAGCTTCCCCCACATGATTGGGAAATGCTGCCCTTTGTCCTTGCTCAGGGGCAGCCTTACTAGTGTCCCTCAAGTCACTGGTAATGTGGGAGCCTAGGTTTGTAACCTGGGGTTGGTGGCACAATGAAAAGAAACATACTTTACAGGCACATGAACACGCAACATGCATGTACGCATGTACACATGTACAGACCCAGGGAGGGTTTATGATAGAGTTCTAGAATGTTCTGGGGACTGTTCTGTGTAGCTACAGAATGCACAAGAGGGAGTTATAGAATGTTTTGGAGACTGTTCTGTGTAGCTACAGAATCCACAAGGGTGAGTTCTAGAATGTTCTGGAGACTGTTCTGTGTAGCTAAAGAACCCACAAGAGAATCTCGCAGCATTTCAGGGGTTTCTGTGGGGGGGGGGGGGGGGGAGGAGTTTGTAAACCAACTTTAATCACTACACTTTGCCCACCAGTAAAATGTTAAAGGAGTTCTGGGAAAATATGCATCCACTTTTATCTCTTGCATCCTAACGATAATTTGGTCAGCTTTTTTTTTTACACCAGTCTCAGCTACCACGTTAAACCCTACCCTCCATGCTACACTCTGACGGGAGAGCACCAATTGTGGTTCCTTCTTCAAAAGACAGACGCACACCTTGTCAAGCATGATGGAGGCACCTGTCCTGCTTCATCTATGTCTACAGATCCTGCAGGCTTTTTCAGTGCTTCAAACACTTGCAAAACCTGTTTGAGCCAAGATGACAGTGGGAAGAGGAGAGAGAGAGAAACATGCAAGTATACCATGAAGGGATGCTTCGATCAGGATACCCTGAATTCTCTTCAAAGCCATCACCTGATCCCAGCCTAAAAAGAAGCCAGCCAAACCAGGCATGTCTTACCAAGGGAGACATTTCTATTTTTCATATGGGGATTGGGGGGGGGGGAGCCTTGTAATTCACTTGCAAATAAAGAAACTACTTCTGTTTTGCATCTCTTTGACGCCTGAGCCCATCCATCACAGAGGTCTTTTGTCCTATGCCCCACACCTCAAACTGCATCACTGAAGGTTGCAATCAACATATTAATGATTCCCTGGACCTGACACTGTAGTCATAGGCCTCCAAACTGTTGTTGTCAATGGTACTCACATTTAAATTATGTGGACTGTACAGCGAATTTCCTCCCAAGCCATCACTGTATCCTCCCGTCTGATTGATAACATGACGCAGGGTATCCACCTGTCGGGGACGCACACACAGACACACAAACAAAACAAAAACAACCTCATCACTCTAAAAATCTACTAAAACATTGTCAATTTACAATTTGAATTGATTTCAAATGGGGAAGCAGGATGTGTGTGTGCATGAATGTGAATGATGGATCTTCCTTGAAAAGCAAACCTATCTGTCAAGGGCAACTGAGATAGAGTTTCAGTAAAATGCTTGAAAGTATTCTTTGTCTCTTAGGGCCAAATTAAACACCACAACATGAGATCTCTGATTACCACCATTTAATTTTACATTCAGTTACTTTCAAGCAAGGCCCCAGTTTGGATTGGGGAAATAAAATTGGGGGGGGGGGCACAAGACCAACTCACCCCACAGCGTTTTGGCCATCCAAATAATTTCATGTCCACTCTGGCTGTTATTTGCTCCATGAGGGAAAATATACAAGTACTATATCCTCTACCTTATGTTTTCTCTCAGGGGGACTAACACCAGTTCTGGAAGGACTATTCTGACTGTGAAAATTGTGTGGCAGAAGGGTTAACATAAACCCCCATGCTGAAGCTCTGACGCAAACTGGAGCTTACACAGCTATAAAGTACATTTTTTAAAAGCAGCAGGAGATCCAAGTCACAATTTTCCCATTGTCACATCTAGCTTGGCCCTTACTCCAGACAAGCCAGGGAAGGGGGCTCAATGTGTCTGAATTAAAATGAAACTCACAGGCTCACGAAGACACCAAGATCCTCAGGACTGTTTATACCAGGGATGTCCTTTAGGTTTCCTGGCACAGCCCTCAAAATCCTACTTCATTCCACAGAAATTACTGAATGGCTTTCAGGGCAAGGAAACAAATATTCTTTTGTAGGGCAAAGAGACAGCGCCAGCAAGATGGGTCTCAGAATCAGCCTTTCTAGCACGGAGTGTAGGAGACCAAGGAAGCTTCAGCCCAAGAGGGTGGAATTTAACCACATTTACATGCAAATTGAGGGGAGGGTGGAATAGTGGGCTTTGAAAAAGGAAATCTGGACAACAGGGGATGTGTATGCAGGTACGATTCTTCCCCAACTCCCCCCCCCCCATCATAGCCAAGCATCTTACAAGCTGAGATTTTTACAATGCTGAATTGTGCATCCAATACTAGAATGAGCAACTTGAGTGGTACATAATCAGGGGAATGTACAGAGTCTTGCATATCCCAGACTATGGGGCTTGACCTTTTTTTTTTAAAGGGACACGAATGGTGACTAAGAATGAAATGCATTTTTAAACAGATCAGATAGATGAGTTTTTGAAATTAAACATGTAACAAGAGGTGATGCCATAAATGAAGCAAAAGCCAGAAGAAATATTCCAATAAAAACTTTAGAGTCGACAGCCAAACACGCCCAACCCAACGCCATGAGCTCAAGCCAGAGCCGAATTGCATTCACAAAGCTTGAAACATTTCAAATGGATAAAGAAGGCGAGGAGCCAGCTCTTTATGTTGGCAAGATTCAGTACTAAAGTGAGAAAAAGTCAGTCCCATTTAGAAATTAGGCAGCTCAGTTTTATAAAGAGGCCCAAAACGTTTTCCACAGCTAGAGTTAAGGGGAAATTTGTGGTTGGATTGTCTTTGTTTGTTTGCCTTTTCTTTTTCTGGGTTGTTTTTTTTTTTTTTTTTAAATAATGAAGCCCAAACCATGCCCTGCTAAACAGGCCCTAAGGGCGTTTTCTCCTACCTGTGATTGCACATTGGCTCCGACTTGGGACCCCTGGTAAGAATCCCCATTCAGACTCTGCATGTTCATGAACATGTCCCCAGAATTAGGGAGGTTAAAAGAACCAGAAGAACCTGGAAAGGAAAGAGTTAAGTAGCTGAATCACAGAGAGTGGCAAACAAACACGTCCACCCCCAAAAGACCTCAAAAGGCATGGAGAGGAGGAGGAGGAAAGGAAACAGGAAAGAGAGGAAGCAGACTGCAGAGAATGACACCCCATAATTGAAAAGGATCACAGACCAGCCATCAGAGCCAAACTGACTTTAACGGGGAGGGGCCCCATAACTCAATGGCAGTGCATAGCATTGCATGCTATCAGGCTCAGTCCCCAACATCTTGGGTATCAGGACTCAGAAAGACATATGCTTGAGAATGTGGGGGGTCAGCACCTAGAGCAGACACTACTGAACAAGGTGGACCAACAGCCTGGATTGGTACAAGACAAGTTCATGGGTCATATGAGGGGAGGGGAGGGGTTGTGGCTCAGTAGCAGTGCACATGCTTGGCATGCAGAAGGTCCCAGGTTCAATTCCTGGCATCTCAAGTTAAAGGAACTCAGGCTGAAGATAATATTGAGCTAAATGGTGTGTCTGTCAAATGCTCTCCTACCATCACCTGGCCACTGGCAGATTTCAGGAGGTGGTTCCTACAAACTTTCTGATGGGCCTCCTTGCAAGCCCAAGAATTAGTAGTTAAAATAGACTGTCCATATAGCTCTTATATGTCATTTTACTGTTAGCTTTGTTAAAATTATTGTTTGTTTGCTTTTAATGTTTTAACCATACTATGTGCTTGACTGATACTTGTGGGGGAGAGTGGGATATAAATCAAAATAAATAAATAAATAAATAAATAAATCAGCTCGGAGGAGAAACTATCTGATCAACTGAGATTGTAATAGATGGCTTTTTTTGTGCCCTTAACAGCTCATAAGAATGATCTACTCATGTGAGCAGTATCATATGAGTAGCAACACCTTCTGTAAATAAGGATTTTCACCTGTTAGGGCTCCAACTTACAAACTGCTGCTGCAACACAGTGTAGTTATGTTCTTTCCAAATTTGAAACTGCTCACACGAGAGGCCACCCATGTGAACTGCTAAATGCAAACACTGCTGAATGTAATGTGGGAACTGGCCCTTTGTAACATCATCAGTGCACGATGTGGCCACATTGCTCATTTCTTGGCGCCACCATACAAACTCTGAAGCCAATTTCCCCTGGGAACTTCAGGAAACCCAAACTGCAGCATCTTCCCAAATATTCTAAGGGCTGGCTCACATGTGTGTTCGCTTGAAGAATGCTGCACTAGATGTGTGAATGGGACTAAAACCATAGGCAGAGCTTCTACAATCACGTTTACCACAATATGAGAGCCCAGTCAAACACTCAGCTTTGCGCACATCATCAAGTTACAATAGCCACAGGCAGAGAAAACAAAGCAGCCTGTTTTCACATCTGAACCACCCCTAGGACCTTTTTACATTAAGGTGACGGGCATCCTGGGGACTACATTTACCAGGGTGCAGCTCAGCACCTTGGAGTCTGCCTGAACAATGTCCAGAGTGGTAGAGGAGGAAGAAGGAGCACAGGGACCTATGGCCCCACTTGTCCACACAATGGCTGGCTGGTTGGTTGGCTGGCTGGCTGGCTGCTCAGCCATCTATCACAGCAGCAGAACAGCGGTGAGGTAACTGGGGGTGGCAGGGTGGTGGAGTTGTTGAAAGCCATGGTGGTGGTGTGGGGGGGCTGTGTTCCCTCTAAGCTGAGTTATTGTGAGCTAGCTCAAGGTTTTTTAGCCTTCAGCTCACACATTTTTGTCTTAGCTCAGGAAGGAGGGCTCCAGAGCAAACTAATTTCTGCAGCAGCCAAATCGCTCGCTCACATTAATGCCAGTAGCTCACAAAGCAGAATTTTTGCTCACAAGACTCCGCAGCTTAGAGGGAGCATTGGTGTGTGTGTGGGGGGGTAGGAATTATGAGCAAGTGGAGAACTCTCAGAAAAACAATCCCACCCCTGCTAGAGCGCTCATAATTTGCTGTGCTTTTCTCACTAATTGTAATCCAAACCAATGCTCATGGGAGGGATATTAGAAGAAAGGTGTTAAAGTCCAGCACTCTATATGCCGAAAAGCTGCTTTAGCGTGGGAGTTATTTAAAAGCTAAATGTGTTTCTCCCCCAACCCCCAATCAGTTCCCTTTATCTCTAGGTGCCATCACTAAATACTAAAGGAAAGCCTCATACTGAGCATTGGTTTAATGCCTCCTTAGGATGGAAATGGCTGGTAATTGCTAATTAAGTTGACTTGTTCTCATCTGAAGAAGAATCCTCTCATTCACTTTGTCACACAGCTTTGTTTCCTCTGCAGTCTCAAGGAAGCTACTGTTGCTTCAAAACTGAACAGGCGTTGCTTCAGTGAGAAAAAGGCAATATGCTCCCTCTAAGCTGTGGAGTCTTGTGAGCAAAAATTCTACTTTGTGAGCTACTGGCATTAAAGATGTGAGTGAGCGATTTGGCTGCTGTGTAAATTAGTTTGTTCTGGAGCCATCCTTCCTGAGCTAAGACAAAAATGTGTGAGCCAGAGGCTAAAAAACTGTGAGCTAGCTCACACTAACTCAGCTTAGAGGGAACACATTGCCTCCTACATGGTAAACAACACAATACTATGTAGTTCCTGAAGGAGAACTCAACAACAGGAGAATCTGATGTCTGCTCAAGCTTCCTCCTGCCCTAATGTTACTGTTGAGTATTAATCTCCCTACCCTCAGGGAACTCTTGCACACTTGATCCATCCTGCTACGGAACTGCTCCGCATTGCAAAGCATTTGAGTGCATGCTCTAGGATTCATTCTAGCCAGTTAGGTTCTAACCCCATGCACTCTACAAACTCAGCCAGCTATTTTCTCCACCCGCATAAAATCAGTACTGGTGGAATACCGTGAAGCTGTCTCAGGGATGCGTGTCTGCCATTACTGACTTTTTCACTGAGGAACCCACTGTGCTTCTGAGCAAACCCCAGGCTCCCAGGAACACAGCCCCTCCCCAATTACCATGCAGTCATATTGGTTTCCCCTGTGACTCTAGAGCCAGTGTGGTCCAGGAAGTAGCCTAGGACTGGGGACCACCTCTATGTCCTTGGAAGAGCATTACACTCTAGCAATACGAACCTCCTGGTGGTTCCCACCTTGAGAGAGATCTGGCTGTCCTCAACTAGGTCAGTTTACAAAACAATTGCTGCAGCTGTTCACATATTCACAAAACAAGAATAATTATATGTTGGTATTTCTTTTTTTAATCCAAGGTTTCCTTTTCAACAGGTCAGAACATCAAGTCACTGAAGTGCTTTACGAACTTCCTCGAGTTTCAATGTTCGTTTCGAGGGATATCTTTATCAAAATTCTGTTGTGTTGTAATTCTTTCACAAAGCAATCCAATAAAGTGGTTGACAATTTCAAAATGGCTATGGGTAGCTCCCAAGTTAACAAATGGTTCCTTTTCAACGGACAATGTCATACCCATAGCCATTTTGAAATTGTCAACCACTTTATTGGATTGCTTTGTGAAAGAATTACAACACAACAGAATTTTGATAAAGATATCCCTCGAAACGAACATTGAAACTCGAGGAAATTCGTAAAGCACTTCAGTGACTTGATGTTCTGACCTGTTGAAAAGGAAACCTTGGATTAAAGAAAGAAATACCAACATATAATTATTCTTGTTTTGTGAATATGTGAACAGCTGCAGCAATTGTTTTGTAAACTGACATATTTGATTGCTGTGCCCTTTGGTTATATTGCTTGTATATTTGGGAATATGTCCTCAACTAGGGACAGGGCCTTCTTAGCCCTGGCCCCCACCTGCCGGAACTGTCTGCCAGAGAACCTCCATGCCCTACAGGACTTACTACCTTTCTGTAGAGCTTGTAAGGCAGAGGTGTTCTGCCAGGCGTTTGGTTGAGGACAGTAACAGTCTGGCACTCTCATATTCTAACCTCCCCTTTTATTCCTGTATATCCCCTCCACCCGTGGGAATGGTGGAAATTAGAATTTTTCCATCATCTTGGATTTAGTGTTGTTCTTATGACTGTTTTTAAGTATTTTAATGCTGTTTTAATTCAATTATATTGCATTTGCCTCCCTGTGATTTTAATTCAATTATATTTGAGCCTCCCTGAGCACTGCTTGCAGCGAAGGACGTCCGATCAATCAAACATAATAAAATGAAATAAAATATAAAAGTTAAAATCTCCTTTTCAGCCATGAAGCTCAGCTGGGGCTAATAATTCTCTCTCAGCTTACCCTGCCTCGAAAGGATATCGCATGATGCAGTGGTTAGGGTTTCGGGATAGGATCCCAGGCTCGAATTCCCATTCTGCCATGAAAGCTGACTGGGTCATTTTCAGCCAGCTCCTCTCTCGCCTTAAGCTACCTCACAGGGCTGTTGTGACAATACAATAGAAGTGGGGAGAACAATATTGTGAGCCCTTTTGGATTCCCACAGGGATGAAAAGCAGGGTATGAATTGATCTAAATAGAACAGAACACAAAATGGAGAAGAGGAGAACCAAAAATGTTGCCCTAAGCTCCTTGGGGGAAGAATAGGATGAAAGTAATCGGTAATAAAAAGCCATGATTGTTTATGAGAAAAACTGGGGCAAAGGAAGAATGGTAAAAAAAAAAAAAATATGGACCCCTCAGTATCGAGGAGAGACTCAAGTGTGAGCAATTTTTCATGTGCTCTGGCAGCCCCCACTCAACTCTGCATTTGGCTTTGTCGAGTCTTAATAGCCATTTGGCTCCCCCCCTCCAAAAAACAACAACAACAGAAGATTTACAAACGTTCTAACTGCTCAGCATGAGCACACATCAGCTGGATTTCTTGAGGTCATTTCAATGAGTGAGTCAAATCTTTGATCTGTAGCTATGGATTGTTTTAAGGGATGGCTCATCCCATTTGACACAACAGAATTCCTGAGATAGCCCTGCTTGGTCACTGAAGGGCACTCCTTAGGGAAACTCCACCCCAGAACAAACTTGATGAAGGAGCTAAGAAAGTCCTGCTCTTCTGTGAAAAGAAATTCTCCTTCCTGCACTGCTTGGCAGATGTAAATCAGGCCATGGCAAGGCAAAGATGCTGGCACATACCAGAGTTTGGTGTAGTGGGGGAGTTTGTCTGGTTGTTTTGGACAGCTGCTGCCACGGCATGCGCTGCAGTCACCGCTGTTTTTGCTGCGTAGAGATTGGCTTCTTCCTGAAATTTCCCTATGTTCTTCTTGTACCTGATTCTCTTGTTGCCAAACCAGTTAGATACCTGTCAAAGAGAAGAAAGTATAAAATAAAAAGGGAGGAAGAACCAAAAATCTGTCATCACACTCAAGGACAACTAATGTGAACATTTCAAGAGGTGCCTACCCGTTCTGAATGCTCTTATTTCTGGCCACACCAGAGTGAGACAGAGTTTTACACTGGCACACTCCACAGGCATCTGTATTGCCATTTTGGTAATCCACAGGTTTATTCAAATTTAATTAATTTATTGATCAGTTAAAAAGTAGTCTATCCATCAACTAAAACTCCTTCAAATGACTGACAGCTCTAGTAGTAAGGCAAATCCACATGTGGTAAGAAGACGAAGTCTGATCCAAGTGATCACTCTAGCAGTGGCCAGCCAAATGCCTCTGAGAAACTCACAAACAGGGTGTGAAGGCTACAGTCATTCACCTTTGAAGGCTACAGTCATTCCCAGCATCCAAAGGTATGTTGCCTTTGTTGTATTTTTATTTCATGTTTCACCCAACAATTGGCTTGCAAAGCAGCATCAAAACCACAAATGACAATTAAAATTAGAGATTCAGAAGGAGGGAAGAGAATTCTCCACTAATCTGGATGGAGGAACGCTTGTCACATTCTACTGTACATCTGATGGCATTTGGAAGCTGGAGGGAAAGGTTCTTAGCTGGACCTTGGTCTGTAATGGAGGGAGGGGTCCCTGGCTACTTCCTTCCCTCTCTCCGATGGCCCCCACCCACACTAGGACTAGCCGGATGGAGAAGACTTTCAGCTGGAGCTGGATCCATGGATGAGCAAAGGATGCCTGGCTGCTCCTTGCTCTCGCTGTAAAGGTTCTGTTCAACTACCTATGTGTGCTTTGCACACGAAAGCTCGTATCTTGAATAAACCTTTGTTGGTCTTAAAGGTGCCACTGGACTCTAAATTTGTTCTACTGCTTCAAACCCACACGGCTGACTACCTGTACCTATGGCTACGATCTTCTGGCTCTTAGAACTACATTTTCACAACAGCAGCCATCTTGAACTTTGCCACGAGCAAAACCCCCCCCCCCCCCCCCCCCCACAAACATCTGAAGCAAAGTGTTTGCCAAGGAAACAGCCATTAGGTCTGAAAGCTGAAAACAGGCAATAAAAGTGATGCTAGGCCATGGAGAGAACAAGGGAATTTAAGGGAGAATGCAATTGTTCTTTGTTTTGGAGGCTGGAACAACCTTGGCAGTACTGCCAACAGAACGGAGCTTGGTCTGCTGTGAAACAAGAGGGCTAAAATAAATCAATAAACAGATGAAATGCTGCTTTGTCATCGCCCTTTGAAGATGGCTGTGCCGCTGCCAAGCCAGCTTCTAAAGCTCTACCTATTAACCCGCCCAAAGGTCATGGACAGAGCAACTGAAACAAAGCCTCTGGGAAAACGGCATGCAGAAACTATTTCTAGTCTTGGCCATTAGGAGAACATTCGTAATTAATAACTGTAGTAAATAACTGAAAGATTCCCCATCTCACCAGCAGCCAAGGCTGTGTGCTCTTGTATTCATACCAGGGCACCAATCTAATGGAAATAAAAGTCCTTGGCCAAATGCTTCTACTGCAGTTGTAATTTAGGTGATCATCATAATTATTGGCCAGTGAAATGTACACCAAAATGGTGGGGAAGGTGGCTAGCAAGACAGTTGGACAGAAGCAGCTGGGAGAGTGCTGGCTGTTGGTCTTCTCTATAGACCTATGTTTGTTCTTTACCCTTTCCTTCCAAAGCTGCACGTATGGCAACACTTGGTTCTAAGTTATGCACATAGGTGTGAGATGTACGTAAGGAGAGGTGTAATTCTGGTTGATGTTGCAAATGCAGTGATGGTTCTCTAGAGCAGTGATCTTCTGATGCAGTGCATGAGGAGGGAGGGCAGTGCTCTGACAGCTAAAAGGTTACATACAGATTCCTCAAATGTAGTCTATTCCCCCCGGTGATACCTCCTAAACCCACAGTATCACAGAATTTCAGGAGAAGGCCAAGCAGACTCAGATTAGAGTGCTGCTGGAATGTTATTGTGTATGCCAGAGGTTCAATGCATTCTTAGTTTTTATACACAGATACTTGGTTTCGCAAGGTCTTTTTTTTTTTTTTGGCCCCCCCTGGAGGGGATTTTTTAATTGCATTTTTATAAAGACTACAAACTACAACAGAAATAGGGAAGGGGACTACATTAAGGGATAAAGAAAAGATACCCACTACTATCTAAAAACCCAAGAGAGGAGATCATCTAGTTAGCTTGGCACACGTTATCTCTCAATCACGCTAATCCCATTATGAACTGATTCAACTATAGTATTATCTTTTTCTTATCTTAACTATCACTGTTAACCCGAAAGACCCCTAAGCATCTAGTATATATAAAAAAAGTTTTTCAAAGGCACAATTCAGAGTCCTTCAGCCTTCATTTCCCCTTGCCCAGTCTCTTCCGCAGTTTATAAGGACTTTTAGGGGCGGCTGCCCCTTTCTCTGATAGAGAGTCCTCTCCGGAAGACCCCGAGTCCAGCTCGCCGCTGGACTTACTGTCCATCCCTTCTTTCACTTCCTCCTCTGACTCTCCCATCCGGACTCTCAAAAATTTCTGTGCTTTCTGAACAGTCAATCTTTTCCTTTTTATCCTTGATTTTGAAGCTCACGGCTTCTGGTGTTAGCCATCTGTATCCAATTGCATTTGTCTGGAGAAAAAGAATTAAATCTTTGTACTTCTTTCTCCTTTGTCTTATTTCAAATGGAATGTCTTTTACGATTCTGATAGCATTATCTCCAACTTTCAAAGGAGCTCCAGATGCCGCTTTCAAGATTGCATCCCTCACACATCTCTTTGAGAATCTTATCACTATTTCCCCAGGCAGATTGTTTTTCTTTATATATCCTGAATATGACCTGTAGGCCACATCCATATCGCTCGGCAAAGATTCCGCCTTCATCTCTGTCATTGGGGCCAATAATTCACTCATCTTCTCCTTCAGATTCTCTCCTTTAGTCTCTGGAAAGCCCTGAAAGCGAAGAATCAAATGCTTTTTCCATTTGTAGTTGTAACAGCTGATCTTCCATGGAGATTTGCTTCTTTTCCAGCTTTTGTACTTTCTTCTTCACCTTTTGTGCAGTGGCGTCCACTTCTTTCACCTTCTCAGCTGTTTGATTCATCATTTTAAGTGTCTCACTCAACTGTGTTTGCTGGGTGGTGATACATTGATTCATTGTTGACAGCTGCTGCTTGAGATTATTCATCTGGTCCAGCAGAGAGCGCATGGATTCTGCCAATGTCTTTGCCAGCTCGCTGGTTGCTTCCGGTCTTTGGCTCTCAGTCCCTTTTGCTTTTAAAAGTTTCTCTTTCTCCATCCTCTTCCCCGCCAACTTGGTGGATTGTTTACTTTAACCGATATTTTAAAAGTCTCTGATTATGTGCTTGTACGCTTGAACTCGCCTTGGTAAGTCTTTCTTAACAGTTTTATTCACTTTTTCTTCCACTCCCCCCCTCCAATTCACTTTTAAGTACGTGCGTTTGGGAGGCGTCCGTCCCTCTCTCGCCTCACTTTCTGTTCCGTGGGGGGTTTGGGGAGCTTTGTTTTCCTTTTATTTAAATGCTTAGATTGAACTCACGTTCATAGTTGGTCCTCAGACCTCGTTTAAGCTCTGTTTCTTTAGCTCGACCTCCTGCACTTGCCCCGGTCAGCGTCGCTTGGTTCCATTCAGTCTCATAGCACGAAGAACCTTCGGGACGGAGAGGCGCCTCAATTCCCCGGCATTGTGCCGGCGAAGAGGCAACCCCTCGAGAGTCCCATGGCCAGAGCCCCTTCAGCTGGGTCTCTGGGGGGGTGACGATCCTGCGCACCCCCTCCTTCGGCCAGAGCGCAGCTTCACCCCTGGGAGGTCCAGGAGGTGCGACTGCTCAGCGTGCCGCCATAAACCGGTTTTGCAAGGTCTTGACATTCCCTCCACTAGACCATTCCAACTTGCCAAGTTGCCAAGATCCAGATGCTGTGGTTTCCACTTAAGCAGTTCACTTTTGAGAACTGCTCCCCAGTGGTAGATTCTGGCACGCCCATAGCCTTCCAGCATCACTCAACTGTGAGTGGCTGACCTGGCCCTGACATCAGGCAAATGGAGGTCCCCTCTGCCTGTCCCCCTCTGGCTACCATTAACTTAGCAGCTCTGATGTCACAGGAGAGCTAAGCACTAAAGAGCATAGGTAAATCCCATAGCTTGTAGGTTACCTTTGTTAAGCTAAACCATGTAGGTATTTGCCTTTATGCCGTATGTTTAGGAACAACACATTGCAGGCAAAAAATGTCTTTGAGCCTTCAGTGAAGACAGAGGGAAAGACAACACTCACTGCTGTGCTTTTTGACAGGTGTTCATCAAGCCTGCCCATCTCCCAAGAGGTCCAGGAAAGATGACAGATTTGGGCTTTGCCAGACACCGCACTGCCCTGCATCAGGATCAGTGCCATTTGAATGAAGAGAATTTTTCAACAAATGCATCCCTGTATAGACTCAACCTCCTAGCTGTTACACAATGCTAATATTCTCCAGGGCACCAGAATGCAGCTTAAAAACCAGGACTGGGTCATCCTAATCACATGGACTAAGAAAGGAGGCGAATCCTTTCTTGGCTTCAAAACTGTGGCATTTACTTTAACAAATTAATGAAAGCCCCCCACCAGCTTGAAATGCAGTAAGTGAAGGTGCATCTTTTTTCACATGCTGCATTCCCAAGACAATGCGTTGCTGTATTGTATATATTGCACTTAATATTATCTTGTCAGTCAGGAAGCAATAATACATTAATGAAACCCAGCAAATAATTACTGTGGACAATCCAATTATGGCTTTATTAACAGTTTCATAATTGCAGAATCTCTATACGTCAACCATATTGTCCGCGGATATATAAGAATCGGGTGTTTATGCACACCTCTGGACCAATCAAACAACAGCCATCACTAATAAAGGCTTGTTTAATTCTCACAGTAAAATTTTAATATCCCTGCAG